TTTTTTTTTTTTTGCTTAATTGTTATGTTGTCGTTTTTTTCTTTTTGTGAAATTTTTTTTACATATATAACTCAAAAATATTTGTTTTATTTTTTTTTTGATTGAATAAACAGTTCTTATCATTTTGCTTTCACTTAATTATATGTAGCAGTTTACTATAAATTCTGTTTGAGACATTTAATCATTTTGCAATTGATTGGTTAAAATTTATTTCAAAGAAAACCAACTGTGATCAAATTGAACAGTTTTAAACAGCGGATTATATTTTTCAAATATTTAATGTTATTGTTTTGTTAAGTATTAAAAAAAAAATTTTTTTTCATTTTAGATATTATTTTTTATATTATTTGGACTTTTTGGTGAATATGATTCACAAGCTATGCCGGCTGCCGGTCCCAATCAAACGTCTGAATATGTTAACACAATGTATCCAAGTAAGTTGTACAGAAACCAAAAGAAAAATAAATAACAGAAAAAAGTGAAGTTTCTAAACTTTTTCTTTGCTTTTTTTTAAATACAACAAAAATGTCGCTTGAATTGCTGAATAACAATAAATTAAATCAAAAAAGAATTAAAAAAAACCAACTATATTTGTTGGAGTAACTATCAGTATAATCACTGGCGTTTTGCAGTGTTCCAAGACGTTCATGTAATGATCTTCATCGGTTTTGGTTTTCTAATGACCTTCCTTAGACGTTATGGCTATTCGGCTGTATCAATAAATATGCTTCTATCATGTTTTGTTATTCAATGGGGTATTATTGTTCGTGGATTTTGGTCAGAACATTTTGCGGAACATGGCAAATTTGTGATCAATGTTAACAGGTTAACATAACAGTTTTTTACAAGAAATTATTGTCCACACGAATAAAGTCAAAAGTAAAAGCAAAAAATTAAAAATAAAAAAAGCAAAATGATAGCAGAAGGTTTGCTATGTGTTATAAAAGTTAAAAAAAAAAAGAAATTTTTGTTTTTCTTTTTTTTTCAGTTTACTAACAGCAGACTTTGCTGCAGCAGTTATTTTGATCACAATGGGAGCAATGTTGGGTAAATTAAGTCCATCGCAATACGTCATCCTGTCACTTATTGAAACACCAGTTGCTTTAACTACAGAACATATTGTAATCGAATATTTTAAGGTAGATAAAAATCATGATGTGCTTGTCAAATTTTTATGTATGCTTATAATACAAATATTCTGTTCAGGAACAGCAACCATAAATTATAACAATGACAGCTATTTACAGGCTAATGACGTTGGTGGTTCAATGATTGTTCATGCATTTGGTGCATATTTTGGTCTTGCATGTTCAGCAGCATTTAATAAAAAAGAAATGGTAGAACATGAACATGAAGGCAGCAGCTATAATTCAGATATATTTGCAATGATAGGTGAAACATTTTTTTTTTTCCGCGGGATAATTCCCACTTCTAATCTAAAAGCA